ATGAATTTTTACTTGTTACACCCCCACGCTGTTTCTTTCTCTTTCACCTTCCCATACTGTAATGGAGGCGTGAAGATCTTGCCACCCCAGAGCTCCTCCTCCCCTCTTCGGTCTCATCATCAGTGTCTAAATATTATTCCTAAAATATAATAATGCAAAATAAGGTAATCTCTTCACAGCAATCCCAGCTAGCGGAGCTGGAGTGAACAGTGGGCGTGGGGCAATCGAATATCTAAGTGGTGTCGCAACCACTAAAGCAAGAGGGCTTGCTGCTATCAGAAAGTTTCAAAACAATATAAATGGCTGCTCACACTTAAAAATTAGTTATTAATTAGTAACAGTTTTGTGGTGCTGTTACGTGAATGCTGTGTTTGTTTAGTGATGGGAGGAAAACATGAAGCTCTATTAATACCTTTGTTGCAGCTCTTCATTACTGTTTTACTTAATATTTAGGCTCTTAAATGCTTAGGACTGAGTGTCCAAGGGAATTCAGTGCCTAAATCCCTTTAGGATGTTCAAAAGAATTAGCATCAAAGATTTTTAGCCTAGTGATGAAAAAAACTGGAAGCGAATTCAGGAGAGTTGCTAAATTCAACCTAAAGCTTATGCATGAACAGATGTGCCCCTTAATTATATTGGCTGGCAAATACATACAAAGTAGGACCATTGCTCCAGTGCGGGTAGTTGTGTTTGTATTAATGATTCTCACACGGGAGGTACGTAAGCTATATTGTGGCTGTATTTAACTGCAGCTGTACTAAAAGCATCTCTAGGTCAAGAAGCAAGTTGCTCCTTGTCGGAGTAGGGGGCTAAGGAAGCCTCTTTTTGCCTGTGCTCCTTCATTCTCCCACTCCTCCATGTTTTTCCTTTCTCGGCCCAACATCCACAGCGCCTGTGGGCGGCTGGTGCCAGTGTGGGTGTGCAGATCTGGAGCAACAATTTGGCTGATGTCCAGCAGGGTCGATGAGCTGTCTGGCTCACTGGCTGCCATGTGGGTCAGGTTTGAACCGTGATTCTTTCTCTCAGTGAGGACGTTAATTCGGATCTTTCTTCCCTATCCAGATGCTGATTGTCTCACAGCTTGCAGGAGTTCATGTCTTCAAAAACTGCTACTGCACTACCAGTTTTGACTGAAGTGGGCAGCAGGTTCAAAAGTAATTTAGAAGGTGGGTGGATGGACCATTGAAAAATGTAACCTTTACTTTCTTATAAAATAGGAAAAAATATGTCCCTTAATTACCACAGTTATTATGGTATAAAAAACTGTTTAAAGAGTGTCTCCTGGTTTTGGATTCAGTTAGTCGAGTCTGGAGGAGTCATAAGTACTTACCAACGCGCAGTGTAACGTACTTATTAACCACTTCTGAATTTGAACTTCTGGGTCTCCACATTCAATCTTGATTAACTGGCCCAACAATGAACATTAATTACCCTGATTTACATTGCCTATAAGCTATGGTAAACTTGGGGCTTCCTAAACATGTTCCAGCAGGGTAACATTCAAGTCGTCCTCCATGTAGTGGAGATAAGCCCCGAGAGCCCAGATGGGGCGATTTATCTTGCAATGAGCTGCAGTAAGGAGGAAGAATACAGGAGACAAGTGAATTGGTGTGCCTCAAAGTATATTAAGACCTTTTTTTTTTTTTCCCCTCTCGAAGCTATAAAGGTGTAGGTAATACATAGTGCAACCTAGGAGAAGGCATTTTTATTTACATTTAGATTCTGAATATAGACAAAAAGACAGTTAATCTAAGTTTTAATATTTGTGTGTTCTTCCCAGCAATAAACTGAGCTGATGAGAGTAGGACAGCACAGGATTTACCTTGTTCTTTACCTTGGTGGGAGTTAGTAAGTGTGCGTATGGGGATATATACATACACATATACACCCACATATATGTGTGTATATATAAAATATAGATACCCCTCTCCACAAACATACTTACCAGATTTTCCATAGTCCTAATCATTCTGCAGTGACATTCCTGAAGGCAGGAATTTCCCAGACTGGGCAGAGCTGTGGTTCCTGCCGCTGGCAACAGTTCCTTGTGGCAATGAGTTCCACGTGCTCGTAATGCACGGCGTTAAAAAAGCTTCCTTTTATCAGCGTCGAGGGTGGGGCTGGGCTGCTGCTGGAAGTATGCCTATCAAGAACGATGCCTCAGCTCTGTTGGTGGTAGAAGATTGTTCCTCTGGACTTTTCTTAAAAAAATAAATAAACGTCAAGCCAGAAGAGGAAGCCTGCTATTTTTCAAATCCAGAAGCTGTAATCATGCTAATCCATATGATCGTGCTAAAGCCAAGCAACATGCCTTTTCGGTATGATGTAATCATTCAGCGTAGCCTATTTGTAATCACCACTGGCTGGGAACACCTTCCCAGAAAAGTATAATCAGAAGAGTTTTTCCTTGGTCACACTCCTCCTCCTCCTCCCTGTATTTTCCAGTCAGTTGTGCTCTTTCTCCCACTTTTGCTGTCTTCCCAGTCTTAAATACAGCAACGTCCCTTGTGGGTTTTTATATTTTTCATTTTAAACTAATTCTTTCTACGTCTTCTGTTCTTTCAGTGTGTTAGAGCCATACTGAATGAAATCCCAGTCCTCTGAAATCAATACCAAAACTTCCATTGATTTCATATAATATATTCTTTTAAATTCAGTACAAATGCTCCACATGAGTCATCTATTTTAAATATGGATCCACAGTACAGGGCTGTCTGTCTCTCAGCTTGATACATAAACCAGCGTGTTTAATAAATTTGCTGGTGTGGGTTGGTAGCATTATGTGTAATAAATGAAAATCTGTTGGTTATACTGAGCATATCAAGTGTAAAAGGAGAAAATTCATCAATGTAAATATCTATCCGTGGATCAATTGGTATCAATCTTGTTTAGCAGTCTTTTTCCTCAGGACACACTTTGGAAACAAAGAGCATTTCAAACTGCTGGTTAAACAAACAAAGATATAGAAGCTCTCTGGGCAACATGGGGGTGACAAAAATGGTCAGCGATTTTAAATACCTGTTAATCTCTTCTATTTTATATTAGTAAATACAGAGTTTCTCTTGATGTAACATGTCCATTAAAGTGCATCATGAGTAGGGGGCTGTAAAACGATTATTTGCTTGCAGAGGAAAGGGCAAGGAAAGTGGTCTGAAAAACAAAATTTGTCCCCTGACCTCCACGTTCAATAATTGTCCAAGGAGGAGGGTGATACCTTCAGCTCTGCAAGATTTTTTTCTAAGGTTTGTATTATCCTTAGCTAACTAAAACCCCTTAAGAGACACTATAAAAACAAAACAAAACCCAAGAGGATATATAACTAATTAGATCATGATGCGCTGTTTACCTTGGTCTACAATGTTAAGATGTTTTCATGGCTGTCCCATGCAAACTACAGCTCCCCCCTTCTCAAGCATCGCAAAAAAGGAAGACCTAATCCTGAGTAGTACCATGGACACTTGGCCCAGGCACAGAGCTTAGAATTTAATAAACGTTCTACAAACCCCAGGGTTCTTGCAAGGTAAAAATGCCGGTACCGTAACTGGTAAAATAAGACTGTGGTGGTGTATAATGCTCCATGGCAATTGAGTGGCCTCATCAGGTACCATTGCTTCCTCCCTCCCCCTCACTGCTGTCTGGTAAGATTTGGGTTTTCCACTCTACATCACCCTCAATCTGAATCCCACATAATCTCGGGTGGACGTTTATCCTCACAACAGCTTTGCGCTGGGGAAATGTCATCCTCGGTTTGCCAGTGGGAAACTGAGGCACGGACCCTGGTAAATTGTTTGCTGATGAATGCACTGGCAAGTGCGTATGGAGCCCGACTTCGACTGAACCTAGACGTTCTGAGCCCTTCCCTGGTGCCCTGCTCCTCCCAATCAACAAAATCATCTTTTCACCAAATCAATCTCTCTTTCCAATGTCTTTTAGCAACCCATTCCATTTTTCATAGGTAGCTGGCGGGGGGAAGGATCGGCTGTTCTACAGGAAAACAAAAAGAAATCACGTCTCCCACAAGATTTTGCAATCCACATCTCCATATATTCAAGGATCCTCTGGGGCGTGTGTTTAAACTTGGGGCATTTTCACATGGAACCCAACAACAGAAGAGGGGAGTAAAAATGAAAATGATTCCGCTGTGTGCTTACACAGTCACCTCAGCACGGGCAAACGCTTTCAAAGCGTTGCTTTTTCACTTGCTTCAAGTTTTTCGCGTGGACCTTTTACGTGTCTAACGTTTTTATTTGCTGTCAAAAATACAACTGGCTCGATTCTGTCGGCTTCCCAGAAAGTGAGACTTAAAAGGAGTCTTTAAACAAACGAACCAACGCCAAGCGTAATTACGCGCCGTCTGGATCCGCTGTGAAAGCCCCTTAACTTGCCCACTCCGCCGGGAGACCCCGGGCTCGTCCCTTCGGACAATCGGCGCTCTTTCCTTTTCCACCTTATCTAACGACAAAGGGAGGAATTAGCATTGTCCCGGGCTCCT